ATGAATACCAATCCCGATCAGAATTTAGACGAAGAAAAACAGAAATTAAAAAAAATCGAGGCAAGGATGAGAATCTAGGAATATTTTTATCATGGCCTTAAGTGCATGGTATATAAAAAATGAGGAGTTTTTCAACTTCTAGTAAATAATTGTTTTGAATTTGCTCTACATCTAAAAATGACGCAAAGATCATGAAGATATTTTTTTAATTTTGCACTGCGGTTTGCAGCATAGCCTGCTCTACAGAAATCATGAGCATTATCATGTAGTCAAGATCCAGGGTATCGAGGCTCGGACAGGCCTACGCCTTCATTTTGATGACAATAAATTCTTCTTATACATCAATGAACATGATTTTTTTAACATCAATAAATCTATTTATGAGCAAATGCGGTAAAATTATTTTTATTTTGCTTTGAAAACAGCCTGAAATAGAATTGAAAAACTATTTCAGCTTTGAATATCTTGACATGCTTTCCTTGCATGTGAAAGAATTTTTTGGCTTTGCAGCCAATTTGATGCTTTGCATCAATTAAATTCTTACTGACATTGTACATGTACAGGCATGTAAAATATTCTGTTTATTGGACGGAATAGTATACCATTCTGTACAATATCATTTTAAGCTTAGTAGCAAATAACTGAAAACTCAAAAGTGCTTAATTTCACGTTGGATTTCCCCCTGTGAATTAGAAACGTTGACTCCACTTACAATTATCATGCATGCGTACATGTAGTTTAAGATTTATAAAACAATTTCCACTTCGATAAAACAGGAAAAATGGTGTAAACGTAGCTCGGTTTTCTTTTTCGGCTATCAAAAGGCATAAAACTTGAAAAGAATAAATGCACAAGCGATTACGATTGATTAAAACAAGCTGAAATAGAGTGAAATTGAATGATATGAAAGGAGTCGACATGATTTCAAACCCAATTTTCAATTTGTAACTTTCGGAGTACACAACGGATTTTCAAATCGACATACCCGCTGCTATCTGCGGACACGTGCTTGTAAATGAGGACTGGGCTACAAAATTTTAGACACAAAGCGACAAAGCTGGATGTAAACTGTTTATTACAAATACGTGAATAATAGTATATTTTAAAGTATTTTTTTAACGTTCAATGTTTATTAATATTAAAAAAATAATGGAGAAACAAAAGAGTGATGGTAAAAATAAAACGTACATAATAGTACATTACGTATCACAAGACTTCCATCACTAATTATAATTATTTGCCGAAGCCCCTTTTCAATTACAATTTAAATAAAATACATTAACACGGAATAGAGAAATAATTTTGCGTGAACAGGCCAAAGAAAGCGATCACAATTCAAAATGATTTTATACACCAGTGTTTCGAATTACGATTAAATGAAAGATCGGTGAAGTATTCTTATTGATTCGATGAATTAAAAACATGATTTTCTACAAATTGATAGGTCTTTGTATACAATGGATTTTAAACACGATCACAGACACTTGCAATGTTTACGACAGCTGGCTGGTACACTAGTGACCTCGATCGACAGCGTGGGTTCTTGCGTTGGATTACATAACTGTTACAAACATGTTGGCGATCTTGGAGATCGCCATATTATACAACTAATGATCGTGAATTATTCGATGCATAAAGTTAAAATAACTTATAATTGTTATTATAATCAATGTAGAAAGATAGATTTAATATATTCCGTTTATAAAGACGTGTTCACTATAAAACTAATTGATAATAAATAAAAAAAGAAAGACTAATCGTTATAAATAATTTAATAGTGAACTGTAAAGCACGTATAAAGCCCTATTTAGAAGAAAATTAACATTAAATACCATAGGGTTTATTACTGATAGGACGTTTGTGTAAATTATACACATGAAGAGGTCTGATTTCCTTTCCGAATGAAAAACGCTACCTGTTTACCTGGCCTGCTTTCAACTATGTATTACGCAATACCCCCGGTATAATCGAACACAAAACATTTTCATCAGATCAAAAAGGTGTCAAAGAACAATTTTATTCGTATAATCCAGATCGAAATATTTACCATTTTTGAGTTATAAAGCAAAAACTTTCAAGCTCCCTAAATCCCTAATCATAGGGGCCAGCCCCTTTTGAATAGTATTATATGAAAGCCCTTGCAATTATGCACAACTTTTGTTCAACATGTCTTAACAAAATATTTTTAGTTTTCAAGATAAAAAGGAAAACATGTGTAAATTTTCGCTCTTTTGGGCGTTCTATTTTTTGACCCCTATATAGCGCCATTTTGGATACAGAAATCGAAAAACAAAAACTGATGTGCACAACTTCAATCCTTCTGTTATCTAAAACCAGTAAAATTTCTGCTCCAGCTCTAGTGGTCTCTGAGCCTTTGTCTGGAAATGAAAGCCTACAATTTTTCGTTTAAATGGAAATAACTCATAACCGGAAGTCAATTTTTGAAATTTTAGACAGCATTCTGATAGAGTTTATTACCGTCTATAATGTCTGAAAATTTGAGCAAAATCCATTGAGAAATGAGTGAGATATGAGGCCTCAAAGTTGGCGTTTAGGAAGAAAAAAAAAAGAATAATAAGAATAATCTTAATCTTCAGAATCAGTAGAAGGTCTTCCGTTGGAAACGGAAGACCTTAATAACTAATCCCAAATTCCCCCTCCCCCATACTAAAGGTTATTTTTGACAGATCTAATAGGCGAAAGTAATCTATCGGGCATATATCAAGTTGATTTTTTTTAATCTGCAACAATTTGTTTTACACATTAATAATATGAATAGGTGCCAATTGTTCTGTATCAACTTCACTTTTTTATGCAGCAATCATTATCATATACATATGGTGTTTTCTTTTAGATTCGATACGCAAGGACATGCTTTACATATAAGATTTCTTAAACAATGCAAACTATAGAGAAAGGATAAAATGGTACAATGATATCAGTTGCCTCTTTTAAATTTACCACTTTGCAAATGTAATGACCGACACAATTATAAGCAATGACATGTACAATCTGCCTTTGAATGACTTGTTAACAGAAGTTTTTCTAGCAAATCGTTATGTCATCATTAAACATTGACAGAATTGTATTCATATATTTCTTCTGCCCGATCATACTAATGTTATCAGTCGACTGATTGATTGATTGTATACTGTTTAACTTCCCTCTCCAGAATATTTCACTGATATGGAGACGTCACCATTGCCGGTGAAGGGCTGCAAATTTAGGCCTATGCTCGGCACTTACGGCCTTTGAGCAGGGAGGGATCTTTATCGTGCCACACCTGCTGTGACACGGTGCCTCGGTTTATACGGTCTCATCCGAAGGACCGCCCCATTTAGTCGCCTTTTACGACAAGCAAGGGGGTACTGAGGACCTTTTCTAACCCAGATCCCCACGGGGCTGTTATCAGTCGACAGGGTATGCTTACAATTTGTACCCATCCATGGCCTCTGACCCTTTTTCTGATGTTTTAGGGTCCCTATCTGCCTTGATCGCAATTTAATTAATTAATTAACTTAATTAATCCTAATTTTGTTCTTTATCATCAAATGTCAAGAACAAAATTAAATAAAGCTGGTGTTTAAGATTTTTAAATAAAAAATATGGAGATAACGAACAAGAATTAGGCTCAAAAGTCCATTCAAACAAGACAATTCAGGAGATGAGCTTACACTGACCTCTAAAACATCAGAATTGGGATCAGGTACAATAGTTATGCGAAAAAAAAAATCTTCCGACCAAAAAAAAAAAATCCCTAATAAAATAAATTTCATTGTTACGTCACAATTGTGTATAATTGACTTGATAACTCCTTAATTTACGTAATAATCCTGTATTTTCACTATAAAGGATATGACCTTTTTAACTTCAAATACTCAGTATTGATTATTCCTTTTGACATAGAGTAATCCCTGCAAAGACCTTGACAAAGACCCTTAAATCGAAAAGGGTAACGATTTTGTATTCCTCTATATGATAATCAGGTATGAATTCAGGTATCGTGTTACTGAAGATTTGTATTCTTCCTTTATGGTTTGATGATCACTTTAATAATCATGCGCTGCTATATTAGATAAAGCTCATTCTGTTTGAACTTAAACAATTTTATGCTTTTGAAAGAAATTTCGTGAATAATGACACTGAGTATATGCAAGGAAAATGCATACAACTCTTTAACAAGACGTGTTTTACTTGCATTTTGAAGAATATTTTTTTCTCTGTTTTAACTACATAATTTGAATTTTTGCGCTCGACTCTTGTAACATGGATAACAGTTGCCAAACATACTGAATTTATCTACATGGCATTCTTTTAAATAATATAACCGGTCGACAGGGAGTGTTTACTCCCCATTTACATATAAACTATTTCTGGAAATTTTAGGGATCTGTGCTTTTTAATGAAGTTTTCAGATCGCTCACAATTAATTATCTAACCTATTTTGCATTTTAAAAAAAGTTTCTGAAATACTTCTAAATAATTATTCAGTCTGTTATATAAAAAAATAATGGAATAGGAAGAAAAAGGACACGCAGTTATCTTGTTCAAAATAAATTATATATATAATAAACAATGAATGTGTACAAATCTAACAAAATGATCTACATCTATATGAATTTCCATTAAATCAAAGAACATTTCCGACAGTCGTAATTAAATACTGAGTTAAATCTGAGTGCAGTACATCATTGATTAAAACATTTCATTTTCACTTTGATTCCTATAATTATCATAACTTTAATACTAACGCCTTTGTTTTAATTTTAACATAAAGAGTAAGGGGGTTATAAAAGTTATCTGAGACTTGGATTTATGTCTTTTTGCTGCAATTCAACTGAAATTGTATAATGTCTACAATATACAGGATCATTGCTTTTAAAAGTTTTTATCCTAACGATTAAATTTTAAATATGCTCTTCAGTGAAGTTTTGTTGAGAATTTTTTAGAAAAAAAGGTATTACGTCTTAAAAATGGCAATTGAAGACAAGTATATTTACCTTTGCAATGTTTTAAACAGCCTTGCTATGAAATAAGAAATTAAATATCAGTTCTGTATTCGTGTTCTTTATAAGGAAGAATAGCTATAAAATATCTATGGTATTAATTATAATACATATCTGTTTCGCAGGCATGGTGTAAGTAATATGTTTATCAACATTAACTATTTATGAATCAGAATAAGGAAAATATCCTAAAAATAATATAGTACTGTAGTAAACGGAAGGCAACGGACAAAAATAACTAAAAAAGTGGTGTTCTTTAACATTCGAAAGCAGAAAAAGTGTAAACATTGTGTTTTTTTTTTCTTCAGAAAAATATTTTGGGTTGAACGAGAAGCATTCAATAAATACACAATGAGAATATTAAGCTTTTTAAATTCATTTATATCCAATTTAAGTGAAACTGCGTTTCAGTTTCATAAAAGAATTGTGATTTATATATGTATAATAAGTATAAGGATGGAAATGGAAATTAACTCTCTTTTTTATATTCCTATTGAGGGCATCCTCTTTTAATCGATAAATATCTACGGTTGAAGTCCTGAAAGACAAAATTTCTTCATAAGCGGACTTCATAAAATAAAAAATGAGATTAACTTTTCTGTACTGTAAAATATAGTGATAGGGGTGAATTTTTCTTTCTTTTTTTAAATCACGTATTAAAAGATTGAGAGGCATTATGATAACCATTTTTCCTTCTGTATTGAATAATCCAGAAGTGAAAAAAATTTAGATAGATTGTCTGATTAGTACGTACTGGTCCCTGCTGACAAAGCAGGTAACAACATTGTCTTCGTTTGTAAGGCTTATTATATAAATTGTATTTTAGATGAACTTGGATTAATTTTACAAGTGGTAATCAATCTTACACTCATATTTCCCATTCTAAGGAAGAAATTCCTCAAAATCATATGTAAGTTTTGATTTTTTTTATATTCCAAGGAACCAAAATGAATTTTAACTACCATATATATTGGATTCCAATACATCATAAGAATTCATACAAAGATACATAGCCAGTTCCAGTAAATTTTCAACCAAGCCACATCGTTACTCCTCACTAAAGATATTGACACTAGTGAAGGAAAAACTTCAAGAGTACTGTGCAACAAAATATTCAAGAAATGGTGTAAATCAGATGCGGATACTTTAAAATTCCAAGGAGCTTTTGGACAATTTGAAATCAAAAGATTTCACAAAAATCAACAGCTTTAAAACAGCCAGACGATGGGCAAGATGGGAAAAAGAAGACATTGACACCTTTTCAGAATGGATCAAATGTATCAGATCCATGTTAAAGTCACGTATTAAAAGATTGGGGGGCAATATGAACCAGAAGTGAAAAAAGAATTAGATATATTACATGATCAGTAAGCACTGGTTCCTGCCGACAAAGCAGGTAACAACATTGTCTTTGTTTGTAAGGCTCATTATATAAATTGTGTTCTTCTACCCATACTTCCCTTTCTAAGGAAGAAATTCATCAAAATCATATGTCAGGTTTGATTTTTTTTAATTTTCCAAGGAACCAAAATGAATTTGAACTACCCTATATATATTGGATTCCGAAACTTCATAAAATCCTTACAAACAAAGATACATTGTGGGTTCCAGTAAATAATCAATTCAGCCTCTTTCGTTACCCCTCACTAAAATATTGACAGTAGTGAAGGATAAACTTCAAGAGTGCTGTGCAACAATATCTTGAAGAAGTGGTGTGGATACAAAATTCCAAAGAACTTTTGGACAATTTGAAATCATAAGATTTTATCAAAATCAACAGCGTAAAAACTTATAACTTTTCAACTTTATATAGAACCATTCACCACTATAAATTAAAGTCCAGGGGCCCGTTTCACAAAAGGACTTACGAGTTCAGACCACATTTAATTCTTCATGTAACTTTTTAATTCAAATCATATCGAAAATTATTTTAAACTTTTTAAAAGGAATATTGTAATATATTTTTGACACAAGTAATTTCAAAGAGAATCGATTATTTTGAAAAATTTTACTACCATCTGAAGATTTTTGCCTTAGTCGTAAGTTCTTTTGTAAAATCCAGGCTTTTTGATTCATTGCCCTCTACTTTTTCAATAAAAATGGAACTTCTAACTTTACTTACCTTGTCATTGGTCATTTGCGAAATTATTTTGTTAAAAATCATTCTTTTTGTACACGCAAGTACTCTGAAGTTGACATCAAAGTTCAGTGTATAAATAATTGATTAACAATTAGTTTGAAAAACGTCAGTCAGCATTTGATTAAAAAATAAATTGTATATGCTGACATGGTCATTTCATCGATCACAGAACTTACGAAATGATGACTCTAAACGACACTACTGATATTCTTGTTTCATAACTGTTTGTCAATAATTTACCTCGTTTTAGAAATTGTTCGTACGTAGAGCATGCTTTTGCGAATCGAATCAACTGAGATATATAAACTCAATATACAGGTGATGAAGGTATATTGCTGCAGAAGTAAGGGAAGTTGACGATAGAAAAGTTAAAGTCATCACGTTTATCATAGAGCTTTATTGTAAGATTACCATTAACATTCTTTTCAAGTAAAATATCCAAATATGAAACAGAATTTTCAGACTCTGTGGTATTTCTTTTTATCTCAAGCTCACCAGGGTACATCGTAACGACATAAAAATGAAAAATTCAAAAACAAAATTGTTAATTGACAATTCGTCGTCGATATATCTAAATGTCCTGTTGAATGCCACAACAAGTGTGTTTGTTTTCTTTTCACGCATACGATTTTGCACATATTCTGCTTCATGTAAATACAAAAATAGGTCTGCTAATAACGGGGAGTATTTGATACCCATGGGAAATCCAAAAGATTGTTGAAAGATCTGGTCTCCAAAAAAACATATATATTGTCATTCAGAAACTCAGGCATCTTTTTGATGTCGACGTCAGAGTACTAGTGTGCACAATCAGAATGGTTTTTTAACAAAATGATCTTGCAAATGAACGATGGCAAGGTAAGTAATTTAAGGAGTTCCATTTTTATTGAAAAAGCAGCTGTCAATGATGAAGAAAAACCTGGACGTTCTTTAAAAGGCATTATTTGGTCTTTGAATTGTACTTGTTTAAAGAACATCGACCGAATTCTGAGGATGTTGTAACAGTTTAAAAATATTGATTTTTTATATGAACATTATCCCTTAAGCTTATACAGACACTGGGCCAAAAGTGGGAGCGACCCGCCTGTTTTAAGGAGTTTTAAGGGTGTGCATGTTCCCAATTCATTTCTTGTATTGCTTAAACGATTTTTGAGATTGATCATAACTGATCGTTGTGCAATTTACCTTTTAATGACAATCTTTATTTACTTCACTTTGTACATTACATGTACCATCATTTGGTATTATTTAAAGATCAATAGATTCAATATTTTTAACAATAATAAAAAATAAAAAGTAAGGCACATCTTGTTTACACATTAAAAATATGTTTAAAAGCAGTATTTACCTTGTTCTTGTCCGCGCTACATGTGGATGAAATCGATTTGCATTTGATATAGTATCTCATATGCCTACATGATACATTTACATCGCATTGACAAAAGAATAAAAAGTATTATGATGCTGTATCGATTCTTACGAGGCAACATTGAAAAAAAAAATCTATAGTTGACCAACGCATTAAATTTGCATACAAAAAGCATTTCTCTACAATATAAAATATCATAATGATCTGCATAATTAAAAATTTATACCCTTCTACCTTATGAAATGAAATATCTGCAACAATGTACACGGTCTCACTATTACTTATCGATTCTGACATGTATTTTTGGATAAGCCCTTATTAACGAATTTTAAACTTTGGGAGGGGGTATAATATGAAAAGGTTTAGTTTTGGGGGTTATCAAGCATTAAAAAAATCCATGGTTATCCTTTTTAAGCCATTTGAGGTTATTATCAAGGTGGCATAAGCATAAAGAAGCTTCATCCTATTGTATACTAAATAATTCGTTTAAATGAGTAAACACAACATCCCCACATTCCAATAATTTCTTTTTGGAAAGATTCTAGAGTATGATGTTCATTTCTTGAGATAAATTTGTTATCTTGATGGAAGACAAATGATGACTGAAAACATTACATTAATGTAAAAGGATTTTCAAATGGTACATACATGTACTCCGTGTGACTGTAGTTAAGTTCATTGATCGACTCAGTCTAAGATGCATACTTTACAAAAATGTAGATGGAAACAGAAGTACAACCACGACACACTCTACATTTAAACTTTTTAAACCAGAAAAATTAAGAGCCAAAGAAAGACGGATACACAGACATACGTCTGTGGAATTTTCCGACGGCACATCATTATGTTTCTCCTGTTACCTTGTGCGTGTTAAAATATTATTCTCAGAGCCTCAAGTTTTGATTTTTGACCGTTTAAAAATTGTTTTAGTGCATATGTGATCTAAAGCATCCAAACAATGCCCAGTTCCCCTGTCACGCTCTGAAATTCAAGTTACTTAGATGAGGAGATGAAAACATAGAATTTATGAAATTATAATTTGTTTCATTTGAAATTCAAAAATCTATCTGTCTATTGAAATATATAATTGAAATATAATAACAGAAATGAAGATTCTTGATGTTATGTAAAATATTGTATAACTTTCTTTTGAAAAAGACGAAAAACAAAAAAAAAGTCTATATATAAGAAAAAGGTCAATGTCACAAAAACCTGACTTCAATTCAGCAGGCCTATGTCATCCAAAGACATTCAATACTGTACAAACATCATATTTAAAAATCTAATATATTTACCTGTATACTAGTATATATAAGAGAACAAAGCATAAGTGTACGGGTTTTTTTTATTTGTAAAGGTACAATATCCATTACTGTCCTATTGATGTTTTTGTCGATATCGTATTCAAGGATATAGCAAAATTCATTGTCTTCTATGCGACAACCATCACGATGGTATCTATTCTGTTCTTTATTGTCACGATATTATGTAACCTTTTTATTACCGGCAATATTCTTTTGCTTGATATTGCATATTGTATTTCATGTTC